GATTTTTTTGGCTCCCGAGGACAGCGTTATATAGAGGTAGAGGTGTATTAAAGTAATTTTAAAGAAAAAGATCAGAAACTGATGGTTTAGGTCCTTCAACTCTCCAGAGAAATTTTCCTACTTGCCTAGTTTTTCAAGCCCTTTTTGTACCTTCAATCTCAGGGTACGTCTACACTTACCTCCAGGTCCGACGGCACGCAATCGATGTTCTGGGATCGATCCCGGAAGTGCTCGCCGTCGAAGCCGGTACTCCAGCTCAGCGAGAGGAGTACGCGGCATCGACGGGGGAGCCTGCCTGCAGCGTCTGGACCCGTGGTAAGTTCGGACTAAGGTACTTCGAATTCAGCTACGTTATTAAAGTAGCTGAATTTGCGTACCTTAGTCCGAAGTGGGGGGGGGGGTAGTGTGGACCAGGCCTCAGTATATTACTTGTACCACTCAAACTATTCAATATATTTATCATGCTATAATTCAGTTATTTTTATACTCAACAGTAAGTCTCAAAGCTTTACTGTACTAGTCCATATTGAAAAGCAACAAGAAAAAAATATTCTAAGCAAGCAGGTTATTTTTTCATGTATGCAATTTGGACTAATTTAAGAATTACAAACAACTGGAGCCTACACTATTTAGGTCTAATCACATTAGGCTGTATTACTCCAAGAATACTTATTTAGCGCCAAATACTACATGGTGAAACACCTGTCCTACTGAAATCAATGGAACTATGTCAGTAAAGCAAGCAGGATTTGTCCCTTATTTCCAGGCAGGAAGAATTCTGTCAAGGGCAGATCCTCAGCTTACATAAATGGTCATAGTTCACGAACTTCAATGGAGCTATGACAATTTACAAAATTTGAGGATCTGCCCCTCTGCCAGTAACTAGCCTTTATCATTGCTCATGAGAAAGGATATAAAGAATGATGCAATTTATGCAGCTTATTTTTAATATAACATTACAAACTGAACTAAACTATTTGAAATAAGCATTTTAAACTATACTATATAACAGTGGGAATGCGCTGCTTTTTCTAGGTTTAATCTAAAGTAACAAAAAGTACAGTGAACGAGCTTATGGCAAATGATTGCTAAAACAGGAGAAAATATATAGATACATTAAATAGTTTATGGATGTTCTCCAATTGAGTTATTTTCTGAAGAGAAATCTAAGTATAAAATATAACTCCAAACTTAACATTTCAAAATTGTTCATGCTGCTGTACAAGATATATTTCAGATATTTTTCTCAATATACCAATTCATACAATGCAATAAGCAAGCATAAAAATTAACCTAAGAAACTAATGCTTTTGTTTACCTATTCCTGTAAAATTGATCTGTATTTGCAGTGGTTCAAAACCAGATTAGGAAGAAAAAAGAGTCTTTTCAAGTTTTAAAGGGAGATATTTTACAATTTTTGTTCAGACTTCTGAAGTATCTATGATTCAACTTCTCTAATTGCGGTTTTATAATAAAAACAAATGTTCAGTAAATGTTGTGTATCAAAGCAATAGCTACAGGTTACAAAGGACGTTTATTTACTCTACTCTTATTACTTCAAGATGCCTGATTTCATAAAAATCCTTCAGTTCACAAAAAATGTCCATTATCACCCACATTTTCACTTGGTCATCTCTTTCGCCATGCTAATGTAAACTTACACTACTTTAGATATTTTATATTTTTCTTACTTCTCAAACTTCTCTTCACTTTCTAATTCCTGCTATTAATTTCATGCCAGTCTCTTCATTATATACCACCTACAAATAATCTAATATGGCTTTGTTTTTCTTTTCTATATGTACAGTAACTCCTAACTTAACATCATTCCGGATAAAGTTGTTTCGCTGTTACATTGCTGATCAATTAGAGAACATGCCCATTTAAAGTTGTGCAATGCTCCCTTATAATGTTGTTTGGTACCGCCTGCTTTGTCCATTGCTTGCAGAAAGAGCAGCCCGTTGGAGCTAGCTGGTGGGGGCCTGGAACCAGGGTGGGTAGTCAGCCCCCCTAAGTTTCCTGTGCGGCAGCTTCCCAGCAGGCTGTCAATGGCAGGCAGTTCAGCTGTCCCTCCCCCACTGCCGTGTGCTGCTTCTGCCCTCTGCCTTGGAGCTACTCCCGGGAGCCTCCCGCATGCTGTGCAGAAGGGGAGTGCTTATGTCAGGGTGTCCCCCTCCCACCACTCCTGTACCCCATCGCCACTGAGCCGGGGGGGGGGGGGGGGGGGGGAAAACAAACAGGGCTGAGGACAGAGGGAGCTTGGTGGCAGCAGCTGCTGTCTCAACTTGCTGATCTACTTAAAAAGGCAATGTCCTTAGCGTTGGGTCAGTGTACTTAAAGGGGCAATGCGCGTCTCTCTCTCACACAGGGTGCGTGTGTCTGTCTCTGCCATGCTGTCTCCCCTTCCTCCATTCGTGCTGCCTTGTAGAGTGTGAGGCTACATTAACAACGTGTTAACCCTTGAGGGCTCAGCCGAGTGCTAGTTCATCGTTTAGCAGCAAGGCATTCCCTGGGAAATATCCCATCCTCTGACTCCACCACCTCAACCAAGCCTCGCAAGCATCATTGTTGTGTACAGTATTAAATTGTTTGTTTAAAACAAATACTGTGTATATAATGTCTTTTGTCTGGCAAAAAAAAAAATTCCCTGGAACCTAATCCCCCCTATTTACATTAATTCCTATGGGGAAATTGGATTTGCTTAATATTGTTTCGCTTAAAGTAGCATTTTTCAGTAACATAATTACAATGTTAAGCGAGGAGTTACTGTATATGTTTAAAAAAATTGTATAAAATATATGTAAAGGATCAACAGCAATATGACTCATTTGTGTTAGACTCTCTTCAAATTTGGTGCATCATTTTATCTGGAACCAGATATTCCCCTGTACTTAACCTACTGTACTTAGGTTAGTGAAGCTCCACATACTCTAGAAACCTAAAAGATCAATAGCTGCGGAAACACAATGCATTTTGTTCCACAGGAATTTAAGTCTCTCTTTACAATAAAAATTATATTTAAAAACAAAAATGGTATCATAATTGTTAGGGTAAATTATCACTACTATTTGCTCTTTGAGCTACAAGCAAACACATTGTATGAACTTGTACGAAGTCAGTGTCAGAAAAGCTATATTGCACCTACCCTCTAGCCATTTTTTTCCACAAATATATACAAGGTGCTATTTCCAAGAACATGAAGAATTATGACTGTCATTCTGTTGTTCACTGGGAAACTTCACCACTTTTCTTACAAAGTATTGTAACAGGCTTAGCAAGTGAACATAAAAATATATTGTTGACATATTGCTAAGCATTTTGAAAAAAACGCATTATAACTGAGTGCTTCAATGGTCTAGTTCAAAGCAGTTCTCAAGCAACCCAAGGATCCACATTTTGATTTAAAATTTTTCGGGCATCCCCAAGTCCCCCCCCTTAGGCCCAGACCCCGCCCCCACTCTACCCCTTCCCCAAAGGCCCTACCCCACCGCACCTCTTCCTGTCCCCCGCTCACTCCATCCCCTCCCTCCCTCCATCGCTCGCTCTTCCCCACCCTCACTCACTTTCACCAGGCTGGGGTTGGGGTGCAGGCTCTGGGAGGGAGTTTGGGCGTGGGAGTTCCGGGAGCAGCGCAGAGCCAGGGCAGGCAGGGAGCCTGCCTTACCCCTGCTGCGCTCCCAGACTTTTAGCACCTAAAATCTCCCTGTTTGGCTTCAGTAGCCTCTGGGAGATAGAGCCTGATTCTGGGAGGCACTAGGAGTGAGGGGGAGGAATTGATCAGAATGGCCTGGGGACCCCCAGGGGTCTGCGGACCCCAGTTTGAAAAACCGTGGTCTAGTTAAATTTTAATACTTTTTTTTCCCCCTCAGACTGTATTTCTCCATGTTAAAAGCTAGATGGATTAAAAGGTATTTTTAATAAAATAGAATAAATACATACATTTCTGTCCTTCTCCTGAACCTTCATCTGCAGCATAGGGCTCTGCTTTGAAGTACATGTATTGTGCTTCTCCTGTACTCTTGCCACTTTCGTCATATTCACTGTCAGTTCCAGAATCTTCTTCTGCTGTGTCCCAGGTTTCTTTTTTCCCTTCATTTGCTTTAGATCTCCTACTACTTGTGATGCTATGAGAGTCAAGTCCATTAGCCAAGGGGATCGGGGCATTGTCCACGTTGCACAAAGTGTCACTGCTGTGACTGGAACTAAGAATATCACTGTCCACTGAACTTGTGCTTCTGTCATTATTCACATCAGAATCTGACCGCTCCTCTGACTGGAAATTTTCTGGATCAGAAATTTGAATTTGGTTTTCAAGTTCTCTGTTTTCTGCTGATGCTAAAGAGTCTACCTCATTCAAAGGTGATTCAATGTTTTCAAAGTCACTTGCTTCTGTGCTCTTGCTACTGTCTCCATTATCCCCTTCCTGCTCTTGCTGTAACGACAAGCTTTTGAGTTTTTCAGTGCTTTCTTCCAAGATAGCCTCTACAGATCTCATATTACCCAGAGGTCCTTTCACTCTTGCACAGGCTTCATCCAAATTGCCTGAATCTCCACTCGCTTTTTGATTGACTGTCCTTTTAAATTGAGACCCAGGAGATTGTTCTGGCAATGAAACATATAGCCTGATTGTGTTTGCATGACGATCCAAAAGTTTCCACAAATGGGAGTCTGTATATGCCATCTGGCGATCCAAAGACTCCGAACTTTCAACGAAGACCTAAATATAAAATCATACAATTATACTACATAGCTATGTTACTTAATAGTACAGGCAGCAACATACAATATATACAAGTATTCAGAATGCATTGGGAAGATGACAATATAAAAAATTACTCTAATCTATTTTTAAATAGTTTTAGAGGAGACTTAATAAAGAATACCCAGCTTATTAATTATTCTGAGAGCTAAATAATTCAGTTTTGCATATATTAAATAATCATACTAGGCAGATTACAAGTAAATTGTAAATAGGTGGATAGGGCTCCTACCAGCACTACTGGACAACTAAAATACTGTAGGCAAAATTTTAAAAAACACTTCCCTACAGCCAGAAGGGTAGTATGCATACAAAGTAAGTTGCACCACCTAACATACAATTGATAAGTGTTAGCACATATGCACTTGTATTTTTGTGATGGAGTCAAGGTTAAGACCCTTTTGGAAGAGGGACCCTAAGTCTCTTATTTGAATTTATGATATTGCTTAAATAAAATGCATGGTTGATGCAAAACCATAGGCTATTTGTGTCTTAAGATTCAAAGGGCTGTTTTGGTGGAAGGTGAATTCCTCTTTTTCCCTTCCTCAAAGGTTGCCATGCTTTACTGAGGTTTCCTCAGATGAAAAGGCTTTGATGTAAGCTCATTATGGAGTCTATCAATACTGTTCTTTTGCTCAGCTACAGAGCAATACAAAGCCCTCACAAAACCCTGCTGATCCGGATGCAACATTCCTATGTAGCAACATGTTCTGATACCAACAAACCACTCTTGATCCCAAGCCTCAAAGCCAGAAAATAATTAATGGAAGAAATGTCCCGTGTGACCAGTTAAACCACCACAACAGTAGACACCAGGACAAAGCTATATATGCCAAAGTACAAAATTATTCAAGTTCTCACCTGCACTATGAAGCTACTGTTGGAAATATTTACTATACATACTCTGGTCGAAGCTACCAGATTGTAAGAATAGGTTTTTTGTTTGTTTGTGTTTAAGTTCTGAAGGAACTCCCATTCCAAGAGCAGATATAATGGTCCAGGGCCTTGAAATACAAATTATACCAATCTGTGAGCAATATACTGCCCCTGCTGCATTCATTAGTACTAGGATCTTATGCTGTTGAACTTCAGAGATCAGCCAGATTGCAGAATGCTGGAAACAGCTCAACCTTGTCTTAGCCATCTGGTTTCAGGTAACTCTTACCCTAGCTCTCTTAACAGTACAAAATTTGTGAGGTTCTCTTAAACTGAGAGGGGATTTTGAACTGAAGAAAAAAATGAAGTAAATGATATATCCAGCTGTTCTACATAAGTATTGTAAAAGTTAGAAAAATCTAAGTAGTGGTTATAAATATATTAGAAAAGAATGATTTAAAAACAGAGATCTTACCTTATTACTTCTAAAAAAGCCTTCAGCTTTCAGCGTTTTGTTGCCCACATTGAGAAGACGCAAGTCATTGTAGCAACGTTCCAGTATTACCCGCATTGTTTCAGCGGGCAGACGTACAGCCTACAACACCATAATGCAGTTTAAGAAAAACAGCATATCCTTTCATAAATATTTTTACTTGATTTCTAAAAGCTATCACATGGAAGGAGAAAGTTTGGTTATTATTAGAATATGTAAAATAAAGAGATTAAATCAGCCTGATTAAACTGTTTAAAAAGTTTGAAGGGAACAGTGAAAACCATTCAGTCTCATTGTTTTCACCTTGTCATACAGGATGAGAACAAGGGTACCTTAATGAAATTAGAAGGCAATAAATTCAGAACAAAAACAAAATACTGCTTTAACGGATATGCAGTCAACTTTTGAAATTCACTTCTTCAGAAGGTCAGAGTAACAAACGTACATTTTTAAGGTGGCTGGTTACATTTTTAAATGACTAGATATTTGTAGCTATGCAAGTTAAGAAGATAGTGCAAAGAATCCAATCTGAGAAGGTAAGAAAATAACCTTCTGAAGCATCAAGTATTCCCCATTGGTCAGCCATCTTCTATAAGCATTTTGATAAAATAAATTGAATGAAATTTTTTTGAAAGCAAACACAAAAACAGGATCTGTTTCAAACCCTGTGAAATAGAAACATCTTCAAAATTTTGCATTTTGCAGGAGATTTTTTCCTTCATTTTTCTAGTGATATTTCATATTAGGAAAAGTTATATGGGAAGTTACATAAGGATTGACTAAACTCAGTTTTATTCCAGTGTAATTTCTAACAGTGACAGTGGAGTTACTGTAGTCTTATACTACTGCAACCAGGGTGAATCAGCCCCCAAATAAAAGCATCCTATGCCATAAAAGCTGTCAAAAGTGGTATCCTGCAAGAGCAGTAAAATGCAGTAATCCCATAATATAACAAATTCTACCTCATCTATTTAGAAGCTGAAATTCAGATTTCAGGATTACCCTGGAATTTGAGCCATATATTGTTATTCATTCATATTAACACTGAGTTTGAGATTCCCTGCTGAGACTCTGAGGGGCAGCATAGAACTTTCAGCTCTGACGAAGGGACTTATCCTGATTCTTGGCTGTTCTCAGGGAAGGAGAGGACCGCAACGCTACATGTTACCCCACCACTAGCATGCTGCCTACACCAGGGGCTTGTGAAGGAGTCTTTGCATGCACGTACACGTCTTCTGCTGTGTCTGTGTCTCAGGAATCTTCCCCTGGCTAGATACGGGCTGTCAGGCCCCTTTTATGTACAGTAACTCCTCGCTTAACGTTGTAGTTACGTTCCTGAAAAGTGCGACTTTCAGCGAAACGATGTTAAGCGAATCCAATTTCCCCATAAGAATTAATGTAAATAGGGGGGGTTAGGTTCCAGGGAAATTTTTTTCACCAGACAAAAGACTATACATATACACGTACATATACACACAGTCTAAGTTTTAAACAAACAATTTAATACTATACACAGCAATGATGATTGTGAAGCTTGGTTGAGGTGGTGAAGTCAGAGGGTGGGATATTTCCCAGGGAATGCTTTACTGCTAAATGATGAACTGGTACTCGGCTGAGCCCTCAAGGGTTAACATATTGTTGTTAATGTAGCCTCACACTCTACAAGGCAGCACAAATGGAGACAGAGACAGCATGGCAGACAGACAGAGACACACACACCCCGTGTGTGAGAGAGAGATGCGCATTGCCCCTTTAAGTACGCTACCCCCACTTTAAGTACATTGCCTTTTTAAGTAGATCAGCAAGTTGAGACAGCAGCTGCTGCCAGCAAGCTCCCTCTGTCCTGAGCCCTGTCGTGTCCCCCTCCCTTCCGCTCTATGGAGAAGGGGGAAGCGGAGGGGGGGGGGCAGGAGCAGGGGGACACCGTGACAAAGAAGGCTCCCAGGAGCAGCTCTAAGGCAAAGGGCAGGAGCAGCACATGGTAGTGGGGGAAGGGACAGCTGAATTGCCGGCAACTGATAGCCTGCTGGGCGGCTGCCGCACAGGGAACTTAGGGGATTGGGGAGCTGCCGGTCCACTCTGGTTCCAAGCCTCCACCAGCTAGCTCCAATGGGCTGCTCTTTCTGCAAGCAGTGGACAAAGCAGGCAGCTGCCAAACAACGTTATAAGGGAGCATTGCACAACTTTAAACGAGCATGTTCTCTAATTGATCAGCAACGTAACAACAAAACAAGGTTAACCGGAATGACTTTAAGTGAGGAGTTACTGTAGTCTGAAGGCCTGGGGGCAGCATGAGGTTCTCACCCATGGTATTTAAATCATACTATGTTTTCATATTTAGACTGAATTAAAAAACTATAAATTACCTTTGAAATGAGTTGCTTGAATTCTGTAACTGTCTGATTCAAATAAGCTCGCACACTGATAGAAGGAGCAACAGATTCAGTCTTTAGGTCTACTACATGAACCTTCACCATAACCTCTGTAGCAAAGAAAATATAGTACGAGAATGATTCAGTTAAAAAAAAAAACGAACAGAAACGTGATGTTTACAGTATACCGTTTAAAGACTATCATTAAATATACATGAGTTTTAACTCACTCCACTAGCAGTCACAATCACAGCATTCTTCTTTCAGGCAGTAAGATAAGCAAGTAATCTAATGACAACTAGATAAAAGTGTTATTCAGTGTATCGTCTAATTATAGCAATGCTTTCTAGCACTGCTTTAATTAGAACACTGTCAGCATCTGCTACATAAAAATGTAACAATTAAACTAGTTAACATTTTTGAATGCTGCAGGTTTTACTAGAATCTAATTCAAGAAAAAATCTCATCCATTCACACTCTTAAGCATTTTGTTTCACATTGCAGAGTTTGTATTTATCATCATCACACCATACATTATAAACTTTGGGCTGATTTTGGATTTATGGAACTATATTTTTTACCTCCAGGTTTATAACACTGGAAAACCTGGTCAGGTGTTCTTGTTTCCAAAAGTAAGTCAAACATGTATGTTGATTTGACTCCGCCAAGTAAGAGTCCCATTGGTATCTCCTCCTCCTCTTCTTCAAACGATCGCTCCAAATAATCATGGAACTCATCATATTTAACAAGACGACAGCAGTCCAGAGGAACTGCTTCTTCTATATCCATTATCTAGAATGTAAATGCAGAAGTGAAATTAAATACTATTTCACAATAACGTATATATATTTTTTCTTTAACATAATGCATTTCTCCTCCCTCCCACAATAGCCCTTTGAGAATCCAGGCATGGTTCTTCTTGGCCACATTAAGTTCTCACATGAATCCTGACCTAGCCAAGGTCCTACTACCACTACCCTTTCTCCCACACATCTCTTGGCGCACACACTATTTAACTGGTAATGCCACTTGGATTATGGCTTGCCACACAATCCCTAATAAAAGTGAAAGAGCTGCTGTGCTCATGACCTTATGCTATTTCTTTTAGCAGGAGGCCAACAGAAGAATGTTTGATGTTTGTTTTTCAAACTAGACAGAGTGGCAGAAGACAAATTTGTCCTTCTCAAAGCAAATATGACTAGGGAGAAGAGAAGAATACAAGTGAAACCAAGAGTAGTTAGGAGAGGTGATTGTGGAAACAGGGACCTTGAGCACCTGAAGACACAATCCAAGAAAAATGTCTGGACAGCAGAGAAGGTTGCATATTGACTAAAAGGGGTGACTTCAGGGCCATGGCATAGGTACTGTAAGCCCCAATTAATGGAGTCATGTAATCACATCACAATGTGAACTTTCAGTTTAAAAAACTAAGCTCCTATTCCCTGATTGCAAAGAAAAGCTTGAAAATATGATGTAAGAGTAACTGATGCAGCAGCATCTGCACATAGCCTGAAACAATAAGAGGGATGAATTGCCCAAGCATCTCAAATGGGGTATTCACTCCAAGACCCCCTGCTCTGGAGGGCCATGCTAACACCACTCTGGCAGAGAACATGGTGTGAGGCAGGAACGAAAGAATGCAGCAGGTCCAACCCATCCACCCAAGCAGATACACCCCAGGTGCTGAGATGAGCACTGAGGGGGGCCCCATGTTACCACTACTTTTTTGCGGGTGGGGGGAGAGGGGTTGGGAGATGAGGGTGGCAGGCAGAGACTGACCTTGCTGCCTCTTCTAGGAAGGAGATGGAAGCCCACTGTGGCTGCCCCCAGGCTCCCCTGCCACCATTAGAGTACACAGGAGTTGTGGTATGCCTAGGGTCCTGGATGGCCTTTATAGTTAGAGGTCTTTAGAAATATGAGCATCTACAACTCATGCTTCTTTTAGTCTATCTGAAAAGAGTCATCCATTGGCCCTCTAGAATTAGGAATAAATGTCACTGGATCAAGTGTTCAGAAGCCTTCATGACAATTATCTTTTGCCTATATTTATTTTCACACTATTACTGCAATCCTACTATAAATTGTCATACTTCCTCAAAGTATGGAGATCAGAGTTAAATCACTGATAGAAGAAAAAAAAATCACTTGTGATAAACCAACCACGAAGATGGCATTGAGGTTTCAGAATATGGGTACGTGAAGTCAAACTGGTTTTTTTAAAGGAAGGGTTGGTGCCACACCAATTATACAAAAACCTCAGCTATCAATGGAATAACTCTGTCAGTAGTCTTGTCAGCACAGAAAGTCTTGTGCTGCTTTTCTATATAGAAGAGAGCAAAGATGGTAAAATGAATATATAAAAATATACCGTGGACAAATATTATGCATCAGTCAAATTACATCAGCCAGTTTTGCTACATTGCCATTCCTGATGCTGTACCTTGTAAGCTATTTCTACAGCTTCCTTCAGTGTCTTGTCCTTATGAACTTCTAATTTATTCTCCATCATTATTTGTTTCACAGGATGCATGCAGAACAATTTTATCTGTAAAAACATCAATAAAATGAATAATCTTAATCTGTCACAAATGCATGTGCAAATACAGTACACTGCCATTTATTCAAAATCCTATTACCAGAAAATCTGATTCCACAGTGTGACCCCAATTAGCCCTACAATAATCACCCACTTAAGTTGTCAGTGAGCCTTTTAAAACCTATTAATGCTAATCAACAGCTTTGCTCTTTTAATGCTTTATATTCTGTACTTTATTAAAGAGTTAGAATTTATTTTCAATAAAATTGTTTTTAATTCTTTAACAAAGTACCAAGTGTTAAGCATTAACACAACAAAGCCATTGATTAGCTCTAACAGGTGCTAAGAGGCTAACTGAGAACCTATTAGCAGGTGATTCACTAACATAGGGCTACATGCACTGAAACTGCAGCTCAAAATACAACTTCCTTTTATACAAATGCCTGGATATCTGAAAGTTTTGGGTGCCTTCCTGGCCATTCGGATAAATGGAGCATAAATGGAGCATAAATGTCTTTTAGTGTTTAAAAGATTTAAAATTACTATGTTTGAATGGACAGCCACATCTTGAACTAACCAAAACAAAACACAGCTGGAGCAGTACTTCAGCTTTTGCCTTATTTCAACCAGTTGAAAACACTTTAAAAGGCAACACCGGGGTGAAGGTGGAAGAGAAACTGAATAGCAGTATTTGCTGAACAAAAGGTTTAAAATTACAAGTCACAAAGTGCCAGATCCAGAATTACAGAGATTATACTGAACACTGACCAAATAGTAAACAAAGAAATAAATTTTATATTAAAATGCATCCTCTTCCAAAATCTACCAATAAGGGGTGTGAAAGTACAGTTTCATGTTAACAATGTAATTTTTAAGGCTATACAGTGCTGTCACTGAAAAACAGCATCTATTCCTAAGGTGGACTGATTGAAATTTACCCTAAGAGCTGCATGATTCCAGCTGCCATACTTTTTGCTTGTTATATATTTCCAACCAGAAATTAGATTTAAAAACCAGACAAGGAATCTCATTTCTGAAAGAAACTTCTAGGGGCCACACTGGTATATAGAAAGATTTTGAGTGTCAGAGACTACTAAAATATGGCACTTTTGTTTACTTAGTGGTTTAAAATTCGGGGATCTAGCTGACTACAGATGATAGCCCTGCCCTCCACTTTGTATGGCATTCAGATATGTAGCGCTTTAGTTTTTATTGAGCTACCTATGTAAATACTTCACACACTATATAAGACTCATGGTATTGTAGTAATCATTTACAACGTATTTCAACTGTTCTTAATAGAAGTTTAGAGTCAATGATGAGCAACCTGGAATTCTAACCTTGCAAGTATTGCGCTCAATTTCACGTTGCTTCTTTTCTTGCTCTTCTAACTCTTTTTCTTTCTGTACCAATTGTTTAATATGCTCTGGATATTCATTCACTTCAAGAAATTCTATAAATAAAAACAAACAAATTAAATGCTGATTAAAAGGAAGACTACTTTTTAAATGGCACTTTTTTTGTAGAATTCTTCACTGTTTGCAATATCCTCTCAGCAACCTGACAAATTCTTCCCTTCCTACTTTATTCTTTTCAGTTAAGCTACTGACTGTTTTCGCCTGTGTTTTAAGGGGAGGTGAGGTCAACTTGATTTTATTTCTTCAGTTGTACTCCTGCATTATCAGAGAGATTAGAATTCCACTAAGGACAGTGTTAGATAATAATGCAGCGTCAGCAAGGAGTTTTGCTGTTTATCAAGAGTCAAGACTGAAGACTATGTTTTTTTATTACAATCAACTCACTCACCTTCCAGGAACAGGAGAACATTCCAACTTATATCATCAATATAATGATAAAATAATTTGTTTTTTAATGTAGAGCAGTGCAGTAGGTAAGATTCTCTGCTACAAAGGGAGAAATGTAGAATCTGTGACATTTCTCAAAAAGTTAAAGGAGGAACAAGTTAACACCTGCAAATGAAGTCTTTTGGCCTACAAGTGTCACATACGCCCTGTGGAATTGGACACATTCCTTCTCGAGTTTAAAAAGTAGTTTAGGATATCACCTCCTTTGTAGAAGATGTGGGCTGCCCATAGTTAGGCATTGGACAATATGAAAATATATCATAAAGGTTAGACATTGATGATGCTGAAATTTGAGAATCCTCACTATTTTTGTTTCTTGAGAAAATACTATCCAATGCATCTTTGTGAAAACATGCTCAGCGGTTGATTAGTTACAGGTTTTGTGGAACTTCAGAGTAAACAGCATATGGAAATTACTGGTTCTTGCTGGGAATGACCAATATTATTTCAGTCATTCAAATGTTGCATCACTCAATTCTATGTTCTCTGCTTTTAGATATTCTATTTTAGCCATATATTTTGTAAAAATCCTTGGGCTGACAGCATTCTATCACCAACCTACTCAACCTATTGCAAGCTGGAGAATTCTTTAATGGTCTCTAACTCATATCTTTGTTTCCACTAAAGCATATGGTATTTCTTTATAGTTAATATATACCTAAAGCCACCCAACTTCTCAGAAATCACTGGAACCCGGTACATAGCCTATAGCTGTTCTCTTGTAATTTTTTTCCCTATTACACACAAAATGTTGTATTTCCTTTGAAGCTAGAGGTATACCATTATTCACTGTATGGAGAAATATACTGGCATGGGACAGAGATAAGGAGGTTACTTGCCTTATGGTAACTGGAGGTTCTTTGAGATGTGTGTTCCCTATCTGTATTCCACTGTGGGATAAACATGTGCTCCATGTGCCCGGAGTCCGAGAACTTTGGAAGCAGTGTCCGTTGGCATGCACCCGGCGCCCTTACCCTTGTGCCTCCAAATGAGGAATGAAAGGGCATTTCGGCCAACCGCCTCTCCAGTTCCTTCTTTACCATGAATCCAAGTAAGGTCTGAAGCACAGGGAAAGACAGGGACCACACATCACAAATAACCTCCAGTTACTATAAAAAACCTCCGAGTGCTGGTCCCTATGTGTATTCCACTATGAGTGACTGACAAGCAATACTCAGGAAGGAGGAAAGGGCAAGGTCGCAGGCAGCAGAGTAGTTTGAAGCACTGCTGTCCCAAAGGATCCATCAGCAGCAGAGTACTGTACTAGAGCATATCATCTCGCAAATAATATGTATGGGAGTCCATGTCACTGCTTTACAAATGTCAACCAGATGCACTTCCTGAAGCAATGCTGTAGATGTTGCTTTTGCTCTTGGGTTTGAGGGCTCATTCTACACTTGTGATGGAGGAAGATGAGAAAATTGACCGTAAGATACAACCAGAGATCCACTTCATGATCCTCTGAGAGGAGATAGCTTGATCTCGGACTCTTTCCCCCATAGAGAAAGAGAGAGTCTGGGAGATTTTCTAATCAATTGTGTCTTTTGTACATAGAAGGTTGGGATCAACAGGGCTCCCAATTGACCTACCTTCTTGGCTGAGGTGATAGCCACAAGGAATGCAACTTTCATAGATAAATGAGAAGTGGAACATGTAGCTAATGGCTTGAAGGGAAGCTTTGACAGAGCTTACAGCACCAGGTTGAAATGAGGGGTAGGCTTCCTTTCTGGTGGAAAGGTGCTAATTAGGTCCTTTAAGAATCTGATAGTCAATGGGTGAGTGAAAACCAAGTAACCATCAGATGGGCACATACTGCCTGCTGCCAGGTGGACTCGTAAAAACTCAGGGAAAGGCCATCCGTTTTGAGAAAAAGAAGACAATCCAAAATTGAGGGAATATCCTCTTACTTGGACTATATGTGCTTCTCACATGCCCTGATGGAGAAATGCTTCCACTTGGCTGAACAGGATTTCCTAGTGAAGCTTTCTGCTGTTAAGGACAGTTTGTAGGGATTCCAAACAAGAAAGCTCTAGTGTTGATAGCCATCCAAAAATCAAGCTGTAGGATGAAGCATATCGGGGTTAAGATGCTTGATTCTGCCACTCTCCTGGGTCAAGAGGTCAGAAAATGATTGTATGCTAGCAGGATGACAGCCACTGCAAGTACGGGAACCAAAACTGTCTGGGCCAGTACGGGTCAATGAGAATGACTTGCCCTGTCTTGATGAATTTTCTCAAGGTAGGAGCAGTAAAGGAGGAAAGGTGTAGGTCAGATGACCGAATCATGAAAGAAGGAGAGCATCACCTTGAGAGTGTAGCCCTAGAGCACCTCTGGAGCAATGTGTGTTGCATTTCTTCTTCATTTGGGAGGTGAACAGAACTGAGTGAAAATGTTGCTTACTACTGACTTGTGCAATTCCCACTCATGATAGATGGCAAAATGCCTGTTTGAGGGCATCTGCCAGCACATGGTGTGTTTCTGGAAGGTAAGCTGCCAGCAGTGTGTGATCTGATTCTTGATACACCAGTTCTATAGGGTGACTGCTTCTACATACAGGTGGATTGATCTCACACTTCTGTTTCTTGATGTAAAAAGATGGTTGCCATATTGTCTAACGTTATGAGGACATGGTGGGACATTATGAATTTCAGAAAAACTTTGCAAGCTTCTTGAACTGTCCAAAATTCCAAAAGGTTGACGTGCATCCTGGCTTCTCAAGGTATCCAAGTGTCTTGAGACATATGGCTGTCCATGTGCACTGCCCAGCTAAAAAGAGAAGATGGTAGGAAGGGGATGTCACAGAATCATAGAATATCAGGGTTGGAAGGGACCTCAGGAGGTCATCTAGTCCAAGCAGGACCAATCCCCAGACATATTTTTGCCCCAGATCCCTAAATGGCCCCCTCAAGGATTGAACTCACAACCCTGGGTTTAGCAGGCCAATGCTCAAATCACTGAGCTATCCCTCCCCCAAAGACCTGATGAGGGTCCTTCCACCATGTTAGAGAAACTGTTACTCTGGAAGGAATTGTTACCATAGTGTTCTTGTTTATGTTTGGTGAATACACAGTGTAGAGTCATGCCTGAAGGCAATGTAGGCGGAGTCTGGCAAAAGAGGTAACTTAAATGCATGAAGCTGTTTTTTCTTCTTAGAGGGCTTGCTCATGTCGATTCCATTCTAGATGACTCTCAAGCATTATCCATGTAAATGTGCGGACGGACGACCAGGTGGCAGCCTTGCAGATATCCTGGATCAGCATTTGGGCTAGGAAAGCTGCCGAAGAGGCTTGTGCCCTGGTTGAATGGGCGGTTACAATCGCTGGAGGGGGCACCTTGGCCCAGTCGTAGCAGTAGCGGATATAGGCAATAATCCAAGAGGAGATTCTCTGGGCCAACACTGGATGACCTTTCATCCTGTCGGCCACTGTGACGAATAACTGTGGCGACTTACGAAAAGGCTTGGTCCTCTCAATGTAGAAGGCTAGTGCCCTTCGGACATCCAGAGAGTGCAACCTGTGCTCTTCCTCTGACTTATGAGGCTTAGGGAAGAAGACAGGTAAGAATATGTCCTGAGTCAGATGAAACTGCGAAACAACTTTGAGTAGGAAGGCCGGATGAGGTCGCAGTTGGACCTTGTCCTTGTAAAACACTGTGTAGGGCGGCTCCGAGGTAAGTGCCCTAATCTTGGAGCCCCTGCAGGCAGATGTTATTGCCACCAAGAAACCAATCTTCCAGGAAAGGAGGAGGAGGGAGCAAGATGCTAGAGGCCCAAAAGGGGGCTCCCATGAGTCGCGACAGCACAAGATTTAGGTCCACGAAGGAACAGAGTCTCTGATGTTAGGGTGTAGGCTCTCTAAATCCTTGAGGACCCTGGCAGAAAGGTTGTGGGTGAAAACCAACCTACCCCCAAGAGGAGGATGAAAGGCCAATATAGCGGTCAAGTGGACTTCAACAGATGAAAGAGAAAGACCCTGGATCTTAAGATGCAGGAGATAATCCAGGATTAACTGTAGTGAGGCTCTCTCGGGTCGAATACCTTTATCTGAAGACCAGCATGTAAACAGTTTCCATTTCCCCCAGTAGGTTGCTCTGCTAGAGAGCTTTCTGCTGCCCAGCAGGACCTATTGGACACCAGAGCCGCTCATCTGCATTCAACAATGCGGCAGCCAGGCCATCAGGTTAGAATGCAAGAGTCTTCTATGGTTCTGACAGAACAGGTCCATCTGGAGCAGTAGCTATAATGGGGCGGCCACCGAGAGATCTAGCACCATGCCAAATCACTGCTGGCGTGGCCAAGTCAGCGTGATGAGGATTACTTTTTGCTCTGTCCTGCTTGATTTTCATGAGGACTCTGGATTAATGGCACGGTAGGGAAGGCGTACATCAGAGCCCCCGACCACGGGAGCAGGAAAGCGTCTGACAGGGACCCTCTGTCTGTCCCCCAAATCGAACAGAAAGTGTGGCACTTTCTGTTTTGCCTGGATGCAAACAAGTTCACCTGGGGAGTCCCCCACATGTAGAAAATGATGCTGACTACCTCTGGATGGAGCGACCGCTCATGGGGAGACGAGAAGGTCCTGCTGAGGTG